GAGTAGTTCCATAAAAAAAACAACAAAAATGTATACCTGCTCCCTGACCAGGTCTAAAGCATGTTTTTTTAGACTCGTCAATTCTCCAGTGTCTGTTGGGTCCAGGTTGATATTCCTGGTGAAACCTGAGTCCATCCTTTTGAAGGGAAAACCGAAAACATTTCAGATCAGCTTGAGCACTCCAGCAAACAGCAGAGAGCTTTTGATCTTGGACCGTTGTGCATTAAATTACAAGCTCTCTCTAGGTGACTTTAATTTCATTAAGTGTCATCAGAATCTCTCGCACAACAATGAGCAGCACAAAAATCCTACATACCCACCTGCCTGTGTTCTAAGAATGAGACTATTTGGTCAATTAAACAAGCAATTTGATCAATGAAGGAAATTCTTCTTGTGAGGGGTAAACATGTTTGTTCCAATCGATCTCTAAATTCCTTGATTTAACATAATTCCAGTTGTAGAAGCTGCTCAAAGATCCTAGCAATTTCCATGCTGGAGGGAACGCTCCAGTATTAAAATTCTGAAAAGCGTGCGCGGTAATATCATGGATAGGTGCAATTCTAATTTAAATCTTTAGCTTTTCAGAACGTAATGTAATGGAGTTTCCACTTGTGTTCCACCCTGCGGATAATGTGATGATTTTGTGAAAACAACCCAAAGCTGAAATCGCTTCCAACTTCCCCATTCTTGGGTGGGTGCCGTTACTCTGAATGCTATTTTCTCCGCCCCGTTTCCTGTTTCTTGTGCCGAGATGGAGCAGCCTGACGAATACCGATTGGTTTCCGTCTGACAGGGCCAACAGCTGCAGAGCAAAACAGGACCTCGCACCTTTGAAAAGCCTGACTCATTTCGTAAAGCGTGCTTTTTCCCGCGAGCCCGTTGCACACACTGAGAACCATCCGCGAACACACGCGATTTCCTTGCAGGCTTTTAATGCACATTCAGGATGAGCCCTTCTGATGATGATTGAAAATGCAACGTGCTTTACATGTATGCTTCACTTCAACAGAAGGGAAAGCGATTGCAAAAAGAAACTGTAAATCATACAAAAATAAAAAAAAAAACATCAAGAGATCAACTTTATTATTCCAGATTGCATTAGCTTTGATGTGCTGGCGGGAGTAAAGCTTTTTAATGTTTTAATGCAACGCATTTAACTCCCTTTAATATTGTGGGGGTGCTGTCTTTTATCCAGAAATGAATTCCGCATGAACAAAACAGATAACATTTATCACACCCCCACACATATCTACGGTATGTTAAATACGTTAGCCACCTCATCTAGATAAAACCTTAATAGGGAAAACGTATTGCAACACAAGGCACCCGCGATTTTTGCTGCTCCAATCAGAAATACCGTTCATTTTGTTTATTTTAAATACAGAAAACCCATATTAAAGTATTAATCAATGCTCAGCTCAAAATCTAGAAGTATGTTTTTTTTTTCTACAGTCTACTTTTACTTACAATTTGTGAGCATTATTACTACCCATTATAATTAGAACATGGACATCAATGAATGAATGATAAGTGTAAACAGACCCTTCACCTGTGTGATCAGAAGACGAAGCTGTGCTCACTATCGGGTGTATTGGAATAATATGAATTCCTTGTTTTCTCAACTTTTCAGTTGGAAAGTGAGATGAAGGAAGCCGGGGTTATTTTTTCGGTATAAGTTGTATTTCAGTTAGTGACAGCTAAAGTGTTACTACAGTGGAATATATATATACACACACACCATACAGTATATTAGTTCTGAATGTACTAATTTGTCAAGACAAAATACATATGGTAAAAATATTTTTGCCCTGATGTTTGGAAAAAAAAACTTGCTTATACAAAGTTCACGGGTTCTTAATTATAAGAAAAGTAGGAACATCGTTGTAAGTTAAGCTTTTTTTTAAAAAAAGTGAATGATCTAAAGAACAACTAGCTACACCCTAAAACGAGTCTGCAGGTTTTCAAGGATCAGGTGTTTTAAGCAGACACCCCAGCCCTCCATCACCACGGATGGACACCCCTGCCCTAAAATGTCAACAACGACCAAGGTCAGCCCACTCCCTATGACAAACTCGAAATATCTACTTCTCTGACTCATAGGCCCACATTAACACATTCAGTATAGCTTTATTAAAGTGCTCTCTGGGTTGCTCCCAGTTGAGGTTCATGTTGATCAGTCATCTGCCCCAGAGGAATCAACTTGAAGAACTGTTTATCAGGTCTAGTGAAGCATGGCAAGCACATTTTCTAAAGAAAGTTTCGGTTTCAGACATCATTAGTCCCCATTAGTCCTACTGGCAGGGGTAATGACCCAGAGAGCTCTGTGTTTCAGGCACGACTTTCATTCAGCCCGAAGACAAGTGAGGTGTTTGATATTGTCCTCTCTAAGGGAATCACGGACAGTTTTATCAGTTCCATGTCAAGGAGCTTAACAAAACAGCTGTTTCCCACTGCGTGCAGCATCGGCCTCATGAAGTATCAAAATGTTGTAGGTTAATTAAAACAACACAAAAAATAAATCCAGGCTACCCAGCAGTCAGTCCTTCTGCTAATTATCAGTGAAATAACAAAGGAGCACAGAATTGCATAAGGATGTGGATTGGAGAGACTGCAAGTTTAATTAAATCCCTAAAACATGTTGAGAAAGGAAGCTCTAGTAAAAGGTATGCCCAAGCTAAATGAAATTTTGACCCTCCCAAATAATGGCCACTCTGGCACTCCCAGAAATGACCTTCCCACCGGTTACAATTCCCAAACCCAATATGCCACAGTGAACTGTGACTTTACATCACAAGAGAGTAAAATGCCTCTGTCTGTCAAATGGCAGTATGCGGTTTGTTTAATTTTAAAATTAACTATTTAATTTTTCCACATTGAGGCATTTCCGTGAATGAGTATATTTAAGGCAGGCTTTGCCTTTGTAATGCCTGAATTCGACAGCAGCAGTGAATATTCTGTCTTGTGTTTGATAGCAAAATCACATCACAGCTCCAAAAGTGTTGTCAAGGCAGGTAGTTGAACATGGGACCGGTATACTGCGTACAGTATACTGTTTTCTTTTTCTAAAAGCCCTTCCGTCTGTGTTTAGCAAAATGTTGTAAAAATAAACTGTATTTAAAAAACATTTCAGCATTGTGACTTGTTTAGAATGCGTACAGGAGACATTTAACTTTAACACAAACTCACAGTGTTTGATTAATGCAAACTTCTACATTGTCAAGGCATGAATAAATGATGTCCATAAGTTTGAAATACTATAATTTTCTTACTAACATTTAATAATTGCAACTTACCTTGTACAGTTAAATTACTTTAACAGTAAAAACTATGGAAATTATAGTTTTAGTATAACAATTGAAATTACACTGGTTAATTTCAATGTAATAGATAAATTCATGTGTATCCTGACGAAACATTGCAGGGAAAAAATGTTTAAATTTCTCACGTAATCCCTTGGAGTTCTGAAGACTTTTGTATAGTAAACTCTGAAGCTGATGGAGAGAGAATCACTCGGCACCTCAGTTTATGATACCAAGATTTTAAAATGTTGCCAAAGTCTCTGTTTGCTGCACTGTGCTGTTCTTCCTGGAATGGTTATTTGCAACCATATAAGTTCAAGTAAGTCTATGAATTATATGAAAATACAAAATCAAAACTGTACTTCAGAAAAAAAAGTACTTTCGGAATCACAGTAAATAGTCACTTTCACAACTGCATTTTGCATTTGTAATGATATAGTATTTATTTTAACGCTGTGTGAGATATTTAGTACATATCAAACCATTGAATGATCCAAATTGTTTGAGCTATACTACTTAAAACAATGGAATTCATTTCACGCTCATCGACTTTAAAGTAAATCAGATAGAGCTGGTTTTGCAACTTACTTCATATCCCTTGATTCCCTTGATTTCCTCTTGCAAATGTCTACGGGGTTCATGAAGTAACGTTTCTACAAACCATTTTAATATGGGAACATTTATGTCCCATTAAAGCTGTTTCTGTAATTAGTCATCGTTAGCCTTTGGAGTACAAAAAACAGCCGAGGGAAAAAAAAAAGAACAATTGTGTTTTTTGAGAATAACAGATTCTTGGATTAAGCAAAGTCCTCTGCATGCCTGAATTGACATGTAACAAGTGACCTTTTAAAGCCCGTGCAACCTCATTTTGACTGATTTCATCTGTAGTCAAACGCAAAAGAAAGCAGTGCTATAAAACACTCAGCCGTCTCTGTTTATAATTAATTCATGGGGAGTGGTACTATAAATGAGAATGAGTGGAATGTGCATGAAAAAGGCCGTCTTTTCGGGAAAAAGGGCCGATGTTAAAAGTGTATAAATGAGCAAAACATGGATCTTTAATCCTGATCCTGGAGGCACAGTGCCTCTCTGCCTCTCTGCCGAAAGCACCAACACCTGAATCTGGGAGAAGCTGTTAAATTGGTCCATTTAAGCTGATTAAGGGCTGAATAAGAACAACAACAACAACACAAACACACACTGACCCTCTAGGACCAGGATTGGTGACCAGTGGCATATGATTTTTAGGTATCATGGTCCTAACCCAAAGTTAATTACAAATTAGTGTCTTGTATTTTAAAATGTGATTAAAACACTTCAACGAAGAACATATTAGGTGATGATTTCCACTTAAATCCTTTATTGGGAATTTGTCATTGATTTTTGTTTAAACAATTTTGATCATACTTTATTTCACATTTTCTCAGGACAGCTGTTTGAGCTACAGATGGTCTAAACATCCTCTGAGCTAACCAAGACAAATTAGTCCTCAACCTGTATGAAAAACCTTATAGCCGACTCTTGAAATCATTCATTCCGCTGTATGGTATTACAAACATTAGATAGAGACAGATGTTGCAATGCTGTGGGCTTTCCTGGGGCAGCAGAGAAGAAACCTGTATACTGCTTAATTAGTGAGGGGGAAACCCCAGGAAATGGTTTAATACAACCATACCCAAATCTCTCTGGTACTCAGATAGTCTGCTGCTGTACAAGAAACTATATAGTGACTGCATTCCGCTGAAGTTTGCTCTCAGTATATTACCGAAGGTAAGTAACTCAATAGTTCTAGGGTTTTACATATCTAGATACCATACTTACTATCATGTTTGAATCAATTCTTCATTGTTTTGAAAGTGTTGTACCCAAGAGTGCTGAACCTCTTGGTCAAGAACTTTATTTTCCATTGCAGTTTTTTTTGTGTACAGAGCTGAAATGTTCAGGACTGTGTTGCTGAGTGGCAAAGCTATCTCATGGATTATGAAATGTCTTTAAACAGTGAAGACAACAAGATATTGCACAGATGCTAACCATTAACATGTTGTATAAGAATCTTAAATACTAATTCGTTTCTCCTTTTCATATTGACTTCCAGAATATGTGAGCTATTATAACATAGACTGTTTTCTTTTACATGACATCTGTGTGGAGCTGCTCCGTGTTTTCACGTGTCGAAAATAATTAATGGAAGATTCTAGAAACAGCTGTTTAGGAGAGACTTTGGAATACCAAAATAAATGTTTTCAGCGTAACTCTCATTGACAGAGCTACTGAAAAACAGTGAGGATTCTGCTTGATTTTCACATGCTTTGATTCAGAATCAACTAAAGGAAAAGACTCAAATAGATAAGGTTCCACACGCCTTTTCAGGATTTTAACAAGATCAAAAAAGCATTGTTAAAATTCTCAGTAGGTAATATATAGTATAAGACATCTTTGGACCTGAAAAATAGAAACCTGGTGCTAAAAGATTTATGGCAATCTTTTATAGCAATCCATCCTTCACAAACACTGACACATATATGTAACTGCTGTTTTTTTAAATTGGTTGAAACACTAATATGAGCATATTATGATATGTAATATAACGTAGATACAATAAAAACATGAAAATGTAACTGGAAAATAGGTTTACACGTTGTATCCAAGGTAAAAATCATTCAGTACATTTTGGGCTGTAGCTTTTAAAAAGGAAATTTGTAAAAATCAGTAAAACTGTACATTTCTGTCTTTAATCCACTGTATTTCCATCTTCTCCATCCTTTTTTTAAGAACTTTATAAGACTATTCTAAAGTAAATTCAGTTTTGACTTCTAAATGTGATAGTAATGAAAAAAAATAGAAATTGCAGCTCATTTCTTTAATGAATCTTACAAGATATATTATTGCAAAATAAGCTAATTTGCTTAGCATGTGATCTAAATTACACTTAATAAAATCATAAATAACATTTACTATTTTATTTAGTTTATATACAGTATACCATGTATTGGTACATTTATGCAACTGTATAAAAGAAATATTATTCCAGGATTCAAGGGCAAATTTAAAAGGTGGCTTTCAATAAGAAACTAATTTAGCGCTGAAGCCCAGAGTTCAGTTCTTAAGTGGCTGTCCGTGTGGAGTTTGTATGTTCTTTCTGTGTTCATGTGGGTTTTCACCAGTTGCTTCAGTTTCCACCCACAGTCCAAAGACATAGGACATAGGGCGGTAGCTCTGTGGCTAAGGATCTGCGCCTGTGGCTGAAAGGTTGCTGGTTCATGCTGGTCCCGGGGCCGGCAGAGGGATCCTACTCCGTTGGGCCCCTGAGCAAGGCTCTTAACCCCAACTGCTCCAGGGGCGCCGTATAAATGGCTGACCCTGCGCTCTGACCCCAAGCTTCTCTCTCCCTGCCTCTGTGTCTCATGGAGAGCAAGCTGGGGTATGTGAAAAGAAATTCCTAATACAAGAAATTGTATATGGCCAATAAAGTGATCTCATACTGGCAGACTAATTGGCTCCTGGGAAAAATGGCCCTGGTGTGAGTGTGTTGTGTCTGTATGTCCTGCTATAAACTGAAATGTGTAATCATGGACTTTAAAACTTGTATACCCTACTCAGAAAATGAATTTGTCTCAGAATAAAAGGTAAGCATTGGAAGACTATCTTTTGCATAACGTATTATGCGTTAGTCCTACGCGAGTTTTAAAACGCGCTTCAAAAGATCTCAATTACAGTTACTCATAGATCAAATCTGTCTCAAAGTAGCTGTCTCTTGCGCACATGCTAGACAGAAACATGGTATTGTATTCTGATTGATCAAGGCCGTGATACTAGGCTAGGAATCCAAACATCCAAACGTAGTTCCCATATGCGGCACGAGCCTTTTTAATCAGCAGAATAAACTAGGTGTTGTTAAGTTAACTAGAATGACTAATGAATATTTGTTGATGTTGTTTTCCAGAGACCAGGCAATATGAGACGCTGCCCTGACAGAGAGTACTGGGACAGGCTTGTCCGAAAATGTATGCCTTGCAAGAACATGTGTCGGGGTCAGCCCCAGCCCGAGAAATGTGTCCCTATCTGTGGTTAGTGTTGTCCCTGTCTCTGGGAGATCTTCCTGTCTACTATGAGTGCAAGATAGCCTTTAAAACACAAAAGCTTCTGAAATACGGACGCAGAGGCTTAAATAATTCAAGCATGTGCTCAGAGTGTTCTACACTGGAAATGGCTTACTAAAGTTCCATGAAAAACTGAAGTGGGTGTTTTAGCTTGTACTGCGGACCTGGAAGATTAACAGAACTTTCCAAATAAATTATTTATCACACTTCCAGGCTCACAGTTGCCTCTCTCTGGCTGTTATGATGCCCTGTGCCTGGAACTAAGAAATTACGTTTCCTTATAAATGCAATATAATATGTCACTACATTACTGTACCAAATGCTACATTTTAAGCTAGAATATCTGTTCCTCGATTTAAACAGTCTTGGCGGTTTAGCAGATATACTGCTGAAATGTTCTCCACGTCACGTTTTCTGCCAGAGCAAAGCGAGTCTGGGGGTAAACACTAGAGGGCGCCAGTGGACCGCAATCTTATCAATGCTTATCCGGTCTTCCGAATTGTTAGAGGGCACATTTAAGACCTGTACGCCAAATCGCTCTTGTCCTTACACGTTACAAGTTTCCTTTTCGGTTGCATTCTCTCTTGTTGCATTGTTATTCTCCATTACTTTGAAAGCAGCTGCATTGTTAGTGACTGTGGACCAGGAGGAATCTCCTAAGCGAGATGTTATTTTGGTATCCTTGACGAAGCTACTTCACTCTCTTTGCTGCAGTAAATTCCCAGCTATATAGATGGGTCCACTGGTTATCACTGTAAATGAGAATTTGCTTTCAATTGATTTACACAGGGGGCAGCATGGTGGTCCAGTGATTAGCACTGCTGCCCCACAGGGCTGCAGCTCTGGATTCAGATCTGTACCAGCAGTGGTATCTGTGTGCAGTTTGTGTGCTCCTTCTGTGTTTGTCTGCCCTGCGATGGGCTGTCCCATCCAGGGACGGTGTACCATGCCTTGTGCCCATTGCTTGCCGGGATAGGCTCTGGCTTCCCCTCGACCCTGAGTTGGAAAAAGTGGTGGGAAAACGAAGGGATGAATGACATGCAGACCTGTATCTTAATAGGCATATCAGCAGAAAATGATGAAGGCTGCTTCTACTCAATCCAACGTCTAAGAAGATATAATATGGATTTTATCCTCTATGGATGAAGGTGTCGACTCATTCCACCCCCGAGATAAAACACAAAAAAACATTTAAGTGGGCTGGAGTGGACGACTGGGCTCAGCCGAGGCCAGACTGTGACCCTGTAGAATCACCGGATTTTGCTGACAAGTGTTAACGATATTGGTAGCGAATATCTCAGAGGGCAGGACACTTAGCTCTGCTCCCCTTGCAGCTCTGGGCTCAGAGGTGCGATTCCAGCCTGTGGCTCTACACCCCTCTGCAGAGTGCTCTCCCTGGTCAGACAGACCCCCCACAGACATGTGCGTCAGGTTGGACTGGAGCCCCCCTGGCATCTCACGCCAGTTCTCCATTCCCCAACGGAATCGGGAACGATATGACAGTCCCCTGTGGCCCCAGAGAGCCAGGCCTACTCCAGACCCACCCCCTCCCAAATCAGTGCCCGGCCTTGGCAGTATTTCTGGCTCCCCAGTGCAAGTCTATAAAGAGGGCCTTACGAAAAGCCGTTGCGGAATCTGCCCCCTCGGTCATTTGCAAAACACACAAGCCACAGAGACAGAGGTTCAAGAGCTTGGGAGAGCAAACTGCGAGCGAAAGGTTCTTACCTGCACAGCTAGGTCAACTCACTTCCAAATCCCCCCCCGATCCAGCTAAATCCTTTTTCTGCCATGTTTCTTCCTCCGCCAGCGACTCTGAAGTGCGAAGCCACTCCAGGGACGTACTACGACGAGCTCATAAAGAACTGCATGTCGTGTTCCGAAGTGTGCGGCGGACCTGCGCCACAGTGCCCCGAGACGTGTCGAAGTAAGTCCCCCCCTTTCTGAGGGAATCCCAACTGCTCCCTCTTACCGCAGGTTCAGCGAGAAAGCACCCGTGTGTCGAGGGGCTTGAACCTGGACTGGCGGGGTGTAAATATCAACTGGTGCCGATATTCCCACACCAAACAAAAATGTGCCGCTCGCAAAAGGGGAAAGTGGAAGTGTACTGTAAACCTCATTTTCTTTTTCCAAGTAAACATTTTCACCTATAGCATTTGGACAACTAACAAAAACAGCTCCTGTGATTTTAAGACTTTGTTGTTCCTCTCACTGGCATCAATTTTCGGGTGGGTAGCTGTGTCAGCATATGTAGGCTGCAGAGGAACAAGTAATACGTTTACTCCATGCTGAGAAAAGAAGAAAGAAAACAACATTTCTGCCGTGGAGCCTTCTTCAGGTGTGAGAAAGACAGGGCAGTCTACTACTACTACGACTACGCTACTGCCCTGTCTTTCTCACACCTGAAGAAGGCTCCATGGCCGAAATTATGTGTTTTCTTTCTTCTTTTTTTTCAGCAGGGAGTAAACCCATTACTTGTTCCTTAACATAAATGTTACCCAATGTGGGACTTTGTCCTAATAGGAAGGCAACATGTCATGGAAAATATTAACCGGCACATTTGAGCATTGATATCTGATGGTGTGGTTGCAATGGGCTTTTTCATCTCTGCCTCTCTTGAGATCTCGGCCACACAGCCCACGCATGCAGTCACAGAAAAGCTGTTGAATGTCCCCAGGAATTGCATCTCTTTAACAGTCTCGCTTTACACAGAGACCGGTCACTCTCTCCTGCTCTTGAAACCCTCTCCAAACTGCACCGCAGCCTCAAAGACCGATAAGCATCAGTCTACACTATGAAATCTGCTGCATGTGATGCTTAACACAAGCGCACGTCTGAATGGATTTTATTGTAACTCTTTCATAAGCACAGGAAGGCGTACGAATTCTGCACAGTAAATTTTAAAATGCTGAAAGCTCCTTTGCAGCATGTTGTTCCAGCAATGTGTAATCCTAAAGCAGATATTTCTAAATTTCTAATCCTAAAGGCTAATATTTACATTAGTGTGATTAGTGCAGATCAGCGGTCACATCTGATATAATCCAGCCCAAGATGCTTTTAAAAAACAGTTTATAACGCAATACCTAAAAAGCTTGTGAAGTCGAGCAGCATTAAATCTGTGCAGCAAATGCAATGACTGGGCTTGGTCACTACCTGGGACCTTGAGTGGGGGAAAAAAAAGTTTTCTGAAGTGGTCCCGTATAAACTCCTGCCAGGGGCGTAGGTAACAGTTAATTCAAAAGGGATTTAAAACAAACCGGCCGACAGTTTTATCCCCCCCCGTCGCATGTTTTTAGTGGAAAGGCAGCCGGCCCTGAGCCCCACGAAGAGGCCGCAGATGGACAGGCTGCAGGACTACCACACCGTGGTGATCTACAGCCTGCTGGGCTGCTGCCTGGCGGCGCTCATCTGCTCCCTGTCCATCGCCCTGCTCATCCTGCTCAAGAGGTGCCGGGGCGCCGAGACCAAGACGGCGTCCTTCCGGGGCCAGGAGCCGAATGAGTACGCCGACAGGTCATCCAAAGGTCCGTTTTTTCCCACTTCCGGCAAAATACGGCAAAACGCTGCACTTGGTCCTACAGTATTCTGTTGAGTACTTTAACAATATTGATAGGCTGGTTTATATTTCAGCTGAACCCTCTGTTAGTTTAAAGTGCTCAGGTATTGCAAGCAACCCCCTGCTAGTTCCTTTTTGCCCTAGAAATTGATTGAAGCTCAGATGTGCCGGATGGGGCTAGGATTAATGAATAAAGCAATGAGGACAGAGCAGCCCGGCCTTGTAATGGCCACGGATGCGAACAGGGTGGCCAATCAGAGCCATGCTGGGGGCTTACTGGATCCGATCAAGCGCGATTTGCGCACGAGAGAGCTGGTCCCCCATTCCGGACCATATCCTGACCCCCCGCGGGTGACTGGACTCCGTTGTGCTTTGCAGATCCGTTGGTGGAAACCGTCTTGCCGAAGGAGTCTTCTGTAGCCAAGGGGAAACCCCGGCCTACCGAGACCTGCATCTACTGCTTTCCAGAGCTGAGAATGGCTGGAAGAATAGAGGGGAAACAGACGGAGACCCCCCTCGTCTTTCAGCAGGCGGCGCCTACCACAAGCCCAACCACGGCCACCTCCATCCCCCCCAGCACCTTGGACAAGGACCGGACCATCAAAATAATTTGTTCCCCTTCCCAGACCACCTCTTCATTTGAAATTGCAGCCCAGCATTAGGGGAGCAGAGTGCCATGGGAAAATGAGACGACCTGGGCTATGGTTTCAACAACAGCAATAGGACAGTGGCTTGATGGTGCTTTCAGGAAACGAGCAGGACGAATCTTGGAGGGGCACTGGAACTCCACTGGACACCATGAAGTCATGCAGCTCATGCGTTCAAGAGAGAGTGGAAACAAGCGAGCACACAAGATCGAAATCCTAATAATGGCGAGGCCTGTGCTTGGGAGCTTTTTCAGTATTGGTGTGATTGTACAATCACAAAATAAAAATTTAGGAGTATTTGCATTCAGGGTAGGCTGGGGTTTAAAGAATATATAGAAGAGTTTTAAAGGCTGTTTTTTATCACTGCAGAGCTAAGCATGTTCCACCTCTGATATATATTAGATCACAACCAATCTACTAATTTAACCGAATTATCTCCAAGAGTAACAGAGCTGTTAATTAAGATAATAAATTAAATAATTTAAATTTAGGCACTGAGATCTTGGGTACCGGGAAACAATGGGGCTTTGTAGGACTGGACATGACTATCACTGCTTCGACCACAATACAGGAGTCACAAAGATGAAGCACAAAAAAATGCTAATTTCTTCTATTGTATCCCAGTCCCAGCGATTGAAAAATCTGTGCTGTTTATTTCACATTATATCTGGGCAAAAGATTCAGACGGGATTAAGATTAAGTCACCGTGTTGCACCGTAAGCATTGTGAAAACTATTACTAGCACTTTTGCAGAATTGAACAGTTTTCAGTGATGTTAATGAAAATGTGTTCATGTGAAATGCACTTTAAGTCACAGTGTGTTTCTGGGCTATTTATGATCCTTTTCTCCATGATTACCACAGTATTCTTCCAATCCAATTCTCCCTCACAGTGGACACAGCGCAGTCTAACTCAGGCTCCTGCTCTGTGATGCAACAGCTCCTGTCACTATTGTTACGTGACTAGAATTCCAACACAGAACTAGCTTGTTCATCTTGAGCACAGTGAATTAAAAACAACGTCCCAAATTAGTTGAACATTTACTTTTTTAGACCAGGGAGAGAGCTGGGAGTTTAGTATTGCCTGCAATAACAGCTTAAAATGGAACTAGGCAAAGCTGAAGCACAGAAAAATGTTGGGCAGAAGTAGCAATATGCATCATCTGAAAAAGGTCATTAGCAAGATTGGAGTTTCTCCCCAAAGTAGGGAGAAAATAACTCTCCATGTGTCAGCAGCAGACACTGGTGCAGTGCAAGAATCGCTTTATCCATCAAGATTAGTATCCAACTGGAGACTGACCCAGCAGGCACAGGGGTTAACACAGAATCTCACAGGTTCTCAACGGAGCAAAGAGGCTCAAGAAAAAACTGCAACGCGAAAACATGAAACACAGCACCCAAGTAAGAGAAACTCAGGTGTGAGTCTCACATCCACATTCTGGGACTGTACATACTGCACCTTCTCACCAGTATGAGGTATTAAATGCACCACATACATAAAAGAAACTCCCTTTCACCTGGGAACCTTGAAGATGGAGTGTTTAAGAACACAAACTGCTCAACCGTCACCCAGATGGATATGCACCTTAGTACAGGGGTGTCCAGCGTAACGTGAGGGGTGACAATTTGTTTTTCCTTTCTTGTGCTCGAACACTTGTTTGTCCATTGGTTTGCTGTAATAAACAAAACACACAAAGCTTCCAACAGGCCAGAAAGAGCTTTTTATGTAGTTCCCTTCCTTGGGCTCAAGTCATTTCAATATTTCAA